TTTCAGATGCTGGGGAGAAAGACCCTGAACAAGCAGAGTTGGAGTTTGAGGCGAGGTCATCAAGAGACAATGCATGGTAAGCATGTTACAGTGAATTTACAAGCTTATTTCGCAAACATCTACCTTCAACATGTCTTTTTGTTTTTCTTCTAGAAAATGTTGTGCCTCTTGATGCTGCATGCGTCAGTTATAACTTTCTGATTATCGGCCAAAGATCTATCACTTCACTGTTTCAGAGTACAATAGTTATTCATTTTCTCATAAATATTTACCTGGTTGTTAAGCGCATAAAAATCTGTAAGATGTGATATAAAAAGCCATGGATTTGTCAACTGAATTTGTCTCAACTTCATTTTTCTCACCACTTTTCGTGCGTCATTGACAGTGTTGCACCGTGAAGTATTTAGAATGATGATATACAGTGTTATGTTCTAAATACTTAGATCATATAGAATAAGGATGTTGATTAAAAATTTAGATATAGATGATGACATTTGTCACATTTCAATGTTTAAATGGGAGATATACCACTGGGAAAGTTAAATCATTACTCCCCATATTCTCTTATATAGACACAAGTCACAGGACTGCATACATATAAGTGTCTGGTCCATACTATATAAGAATATGAAATATGCTTGCATGACCACATAAGAATGCTACATTTTGAATAGCTTTCTTGGCTTATTTTTCTTATTTATTTATTTTTCTATTTTACAGGTATGATGTATCTACATTCCTTGCACACAGAATTCTTAGTTCAGGAGAACCTGTAAGGAGTACCATCCCTTTCTTTTTGTTATCTTGGATGACAGATTTATACATGTCAATGTGAAAAATGCTTATGCTATTTATGTTCATTTGCTGCTATGGGTTTAATCTTTGAGCTCTGAAGTTTATGTAGTCAAACTTTCTGTCAGTTGATTATCATATTCTATGACTCACCTGTTGCTCTTTGGTGTGCTTATGTTGAGGGCATGTTATGGTTCTCAATACTTTACAAAGTTGATTCCATTATTAGTGATGTCTATCTATCCAAGGAAAATTCCCCAAAGAACTTCCATAGATTTTGAACTATTTCATTTACTTGGGGCCTTGGGGGGAAAAGGTTAAGGCTGTCAGATTTCTGAAAAAGAAAGTATATGATTAACTTATTCCAATAGGTCAATGGGGTCTTCAATTTTCTGTAACAAACTTTTCTATGTTTATAATAGTCTTATTTTTGGTACATCTAGCAGGAGCCAAAAGTGTCATTTGATTGAAGTAGTTTCCAATTAAACATGAAGGAATGCATCTAGGAATACATGTTCAGATTTAAAACATAGGATAAGAAGCTAGGTTTTTTTTCGTTTTTCTCTCTTTTACAGCAAATCGTGCTACCTCATACAACTGTTTCTTGCTCCATCCATACTGTTTGATCTATTCATGGCTTTCTATCCATCCCAATTTCAGATTACTAACAATCTTTTCCTTATGCATCCTCTTTTATGGATGAATCAACTTTGTGATGATGGATCATAAAATTTGGTTTGTTCCTCCATGAAGTTAATAGACCATGTTTTCTTTCTTTCCCCGTCTATTTCGTATTGTCCTACTTTTGGATATCCTGCACTTTTGTGGTAGTGATCTACACTTCAAATTCCCTGCTGAAGCATCTTCACTTGTTTTTGTTGCCTAAGTTTGTTCTACAACAAGCGTTAACTTGTTCCATTGGTAGTTATATTCATTGTTGTGTGTGCTTTGTCTTTGAACAGTCAAATGTGCTTCCTTAACTAAAGCTTGTTATAAGAAATGCCCATTGCAACTGTACCATGAGATAGTCTAGTTAGTGGAATCACTACATCCTGCATTTCCATATAAAAGATTCTATATGGTAATATGTCAATTTATATTTCTCACGGTAGTCTATATTTTTCTAGGAAGTTCGTGTTAGATTTCATGGATTCGGTGCTGAGGATGATGAGTGGGTGAACATCAAGAAGGATGTCCGTGAGCGTTCAATCCCCCTTGAATCATCAGAATGTCAGAAGGTTGATGTCGGGGATCTTGTTCTCTGTTTCAGGGTATGTCGCTTGGTGATGAGCTAAGTGTTATTTCTAGTCCTGCTCATTATTTTAACTAATTATTGTATCTGTACATAGGAGAGGAGTGAACAAGCCATGTACTTTGATGCTCATGTTCTTGAAGTGCAAAGAAAGTTGCATGATATAAGGGGCTGTAGATGTCTCTTCTTGGTTCGCTATGATCATGATGATAGTGAGGTAATAACCGTTTAATTTCTGAAGATCTCTCCAATACTGTGATCGAATGTTTTCTCACATCCTTTGAACTATTACCGTGTAGGAAAGAGTTGGCCTGAAAAGACTCTGCCGTAGGCCAAAGTACTGATCCGTTGAAGGGGCTTGCCTTCTGGTTACTTAGATGTGTAAGCTCCTTTTACAGTAGAGGATGTGGGCGCTAAGCTCGCATTCTGTCAACTTGAGTTTGCAGTAAAACCGGACTCCTAACTTTTCTAGGTTATATATAATTTGATGTCTCTAGCCTGTATTTCTACTCGATTTAGAACTTGCAGAACATCACTTGTTTTCGAGAAAAAAATGTGTAGTATTGCTGAGTACCTTAATCCACCAAAGTTTGGATAGTTGCCTAACTAGATGATGGTGCTATTCTCAAGATTTTATATGCTTGTATGCAGCTCTATGCTTTTTCCTGTTCCAGTTTACTTTCTTGTGAGTGGAAGAAACAATAAACTGTATTTGTGATAACATCAATTTACAGTTGTGTTTGAAGTGAAGAATCTTTGAGGCGTGCCTAACTATACTCCTATTAATTTCAAAATAAGCAAGAATCGCCGGTAAAGTTTTGATTAAGATAAAACGTGATTCTGAAAAGTAGAAGCGCTGCAACTGAGAAAGGTCTTCTCCGTTAACAGAGAGAAAACTGCTGCTGAAAGCCTTGAAATGCTTCATGTTTAATCTCATTCAGAAGATCATCTCGGTGACATACGAAAAATGGTTCATCGTTCTCAGGGTAGAAATGAGACAGACGCTAAGTTGGTAATGAAAGACGACGGAAACAGATATGTCAACTCGAGCAGCGCAAAAACAATCGTATGCACCTTCGGTAGGCTATCTCCCAATAGTCAGACTGCTGTGACTTGCCAGGATTTATGAGGGATCTCACAAAAAATACATAATGAGTAGCTTGTAGATTGAAGAATTCACGTATGTACCTCAGGCCAGGTCCCTTCTCTGGTACCAACAACTGCTCTCATCACCACTTAAAACTAGCAAACAACCACGCGATATATATACACCCTTTGCTAGATGCATCTGACAAGCTGGAAAGTGAATACTTCTCAAGCGTTTGCTGCAACACCCGACGTGTCAACGACATGATAGTTTAGACTCGTGACACAAGTTGTAGATCAGAATTCCCTAGTTCTCTGAGTTGGAAAACCATTTCAAGCAATTAATATCTGCTGGGCTAGCATCAACTTCTAAGAGTCGTCACTGGAAAAATATTGCTGGGTGCTTCACAGGAACAAACTTCAATAGAGGATGGATACAACTCTAGAAGCGTATGAAAACCAGTAAAAGGCTCCCCTAGAACCAGCCATGTCTGCGGTCTTTATTGGTTATACCTGAAAACTCCTGATTATTCATTAGTCAAGAAAGTTCTGATAAAATAAAAAACTGCATATAATTCATAAAGTATACAAGAGGAAACTTGTGACAGGATGATATGAGCAACCACTTTGGTCACGCATAAATAACAGGTTTGAGACACGAGAAAAGCTTGAACGCTTCTCATCAATAGCCACACAGAACAAGCTTGGTAGCACTTCATCACAGATTCTTGCTCGACTTAGCGATCAGCAACACGAAATGTGGGGATACTTCCTTCAGAAAAGGATTCTTTAACCAAATTTCCAAGAACGCAAAGTACAAAATCTAGAAAGAGAAGAAAAAAAACTAGGAAAGAGCTGTTGTATTGATTCTTGTATACTCAATAACCCGAATATATACATGAACTGATGCTATGCACAGAGGCCAGTCTAACAGTTTCCTCTTAATCGGGAAGCGCGGAGGATAGAACTTACAATGATATTCCTCCCAAGTAATTTTACAACTCTCGAAACTGCTTGTGCATGCCGTAGGTCAGGATCACCTACAAGAGTGGAATATCTCCAGCGGCAAAGCTTTGCAATATTCAACATCTCTGCGATGTGTGGTTGAGTTTACTATTATTAGAGAGCTGTGTCCAGAAGCTCCGCACAAGTCGATGAATAGGAATAGCCGATTTTGCAACAACCAGTCCACCAGCACCTCTTCAAACTGTCCACCTCTATTTCCTTTTCTATGGTCAGGTTTTCTAATGTAGGGAGAGCACAAGGATTGCTGTAAATAAAGGCAGGTGGCTTACTGTGCGCAGAAAATTGGAAAACAATAGTACATCATGGTGTCCAATCAATAAAATAGGGCTGTCAAAGAAAAATCGCATTTCATGAAAAAGTGGTAATAACAAAATAAATTAATGATACAAGTTCAGATTCCATGGAACTGCACAAGCCACGTATTGAACATCATGCAGATTACGATGAAGAATAATTAAGGACACTGGGACTTCAATGAAATAGGAATATAGATTCCAAGTACAAATGATTCGAGTGGGTACATCCAAAAGTTCAGCATGTACTGCATCAAAGCCTGAAATATGTTGCTTACAACAAGGGAAATAAACGTTGAGCACCAACACAAAATACTGTCTTGCTACCCTTTTTCTGACTGCCTCCTTAACTAACGCCTCACTTCCAACTGGCTCTACTGCAGTCATTCCCTTCCAGGAGACTCCTACAGCTCCAAATGATGTCCCTCATAGCGAGTGCACACATGATCGCGCTGAACATGATGCCAGCAACCTTTTGTAGTACACACTCACCTTAAAGCTCAATAATACCTGTCATCGTCTTCTTTTATTTATAAATTTATACCCCTCAAGTGAAGCCTGACAGGACTCAAAGAGCAATATTTAAGGAAACATAAAGTAATCACTAATTGTTTAGATCTAAAGCGGATATAAAGTAAGAGGAGGTTCAGTTGTAAATTCAATTGGAGTTGGATTAAAAAATTAAAAAAAAACTAAAGTGGATATAAACCAAGAGGAGGTTCAGTTGTAAATTCAACTGGATTTGAAAAAAAAAGGAAGGTTTACCGTAATTTCAAATGTCTTATGGTTTTTATGTCCTTTCTCTTACCTCTTATTCACCACCTGCAACCTCTTGCAGTTATGTTTACAGGCACCACATGTTCTTGACAGATACAAGGGAAAAACCGTTTAAAAGACCAAAACCACAGCTCTGGATTTCGAAATTCTTCTGTCAATCTTTAACATCCACGGACCCTAAGACCTCAGGTAGCCTCAAAAGAGCATCTAAGTTATACCAATCTCCTCCTATGGACAAAATGAAAACATCATAACCCCAGGGCTAATCCCTGCAAAGATAGAAAAGATTAACTGAGTTTCAAATCTCTGATTCCACAAAATCAAGGTGGGATATGCAACAATGTTAAGAAGGCCATGTGAGATTGAAAGGATCCTCACTTAATTCCGTCGATGAAGACATTGTCAAAAAAGTATATGATGGGTCATAAGCTTTCACATCTAACAGTCTCTCATCACCCAGTCTAATGATCATAAATGTCACACCCGGAAACAACGGAAGATATATATGATGTACGTGACAGCAGCGACTCGTCCGCAAGACAAGCCTCACACACGTGCCAAGCCTTACACTTCACATCACATATTTTCTCACAAAATATAATACTTGCCGAAGGTAGAGTTCAGATCAAAGTATATATAACCTAGTACTTACATTTCAAACTTACCGATATATGAGCATTCTGCAAAGCCCAAAACACTCTGCTTGGCCATACATAACAAAAAAGAAGATTACATCTTATAACGCCTCCAAGCAAAACACTTAGACCCAAAAATTTTAACACATACACAGAACATTAAATTTGAACAAAAAAAATTGAAAATGATGGGGTGAGCTAAAGCTCGGTAAGAATATTCCCCAACAGAGTTCCTAGATATCTAGCAACATAATAATTCTCAAGAATAGTGAATTATAGGCTTCACACCTAAAATTCTAAGATGACAAAATATTGCATAAAGAACATATTATTGGCATTTTTAAGAAAGAATGCAATAATTTCAAATACTTTCTTATATGCAAACTAACATGGTAATAGATTCCTCAATCAGACTTTTTGCAATCAACATAAATACTGAGAAAGAGAACAGACTATCAAAATTCATGCAAAACCAAAAGATTACCGTTTTCTAAAATTCACAGTCAAATTTTAGAATCTCAAATTTCGATGAGTTGTTCACATGGTTGCAAGAATCACCGCATAGATCACACTAAAGCTACAAATATTATAGCATAGTAACATGAGAATGCATAAAACGCGCATCACAGAATAGATAATTTCCAAGAATAGAATGCACATAATACTATCATAGGCCACCCGCCAGATCAGAAATGCCCAAAAGGGCCAGATAAAGGTGCATTCACCATATGATAAGCATAGACAAAACATTCCATAGTGGACTTTCTGAGGGTTTTGAAAACATCAATAATCACTTGTCAAATCAAAAACAGATTGCTTACCACGCTTTCAAATCAAATGGATGAGTGCAAAAATCATCATCTCAATTAAAACTATTTATGAAATTCACTTTTATTTATTTTCATTTGTTAAGTTACGAAAAATTTCTTGAATCCGTTAAACCGTTGAACATATTCAAAACACTTCTTTCTTCAATATATTTTGAATAAAACAATATCCATATTTATTTGAGATCGCATGAGAACCAAAATCACTTAACATATTTTATACAAAATCAAATTTAATTTTAATATTTCATACGAAATCAAAATCATATTATTGGGATATGTTACCAGAGTATATGTCAAATCACAATTCATTTTATATACATAAAAACAATAAAATAATTATTTCTTGAGCACAAGATCAATCAAATATAACACTCATGTGATTTATATTATAAAAATGCTAGTGGGAAATGAACTCACTACTAAACTGATTGGATTCTCCCAAATTCGATCCCCTTTGATATCCATAATGTCCCATATTATCATAAGACATAGGGTCAAAACCAAACAAACGTAAACTCTTACTGATCACTCTATAATATAGGTCCAAATAGAATCAAATATAATCAACAGAAATCAAGACTCATAAATAGGATTCACCTAGGCTTATTGCTAATTTTAGCGATCTATCATAAATTCTATAGCTCTTCTTTACTAACTTATGGACCGTTTACCAAATTATGGCAAGACAAGAGGCCACAAAGAATTATCCAAGCCTGAAGATAGCCTTTTATTACTCACCATGGGCCTATTTGCAAACAGAGGAAATAATAGGGGTCTATAGGCAAATATCCTTGCCTATTTATGGTTTAAACTCTGCGTTCAGGCCTATTCACAACTTCAGTGAATTTTAAGGACGTAGAGCAAATCATCCATTCAATTATTACACTTGTTCTCTAAGTTTGAACTTATTAACAAACTTTTCAAATTCCAAGGCCTGAAACAAAATCCCTCCCTCTTTTATTTTCTTCCTCTTCCTCCTATTCCCGTTCCTTTTTCTTTTCTTTCCTTTTTCTACAGCAACAAGGATCAAGCTCTCTCCCTCCAACTGCTTCCTTGCTCACGAGAGACCTAATGACGGGGGGACCCACCAACAACCGAAGGTGGCTACTGGCAGAGCCCTCATCGGATCTAGGGTTCTGTCTCTTTATTGTTATTTGTATTTATCCAAATTTCTCGCAAGAATCCCAAGTCCTCAATTCTCAATAATGTCAGTTAGTTTCAATTAATCATTCACACTTCATCAAGTCATCATTCAATCAAAAGAATATCAAAAGGAGAAAGAGCTATACCTCAATTTGAAGACCACTAGTTATCTTATCCCTTCCTTCTTCACCTCTCTCTTACTTTCACACAGTAACTCTCAACTCATCTCAAAACAGTGATCGCAACAATATATTTTCTGCTGAAAATATGAAATAAATTTGACTATATATTGCTATCTCTTTCCATTACATAGAGAAAGCACTTGTCCCTTGGCCTCCTTTCCCTTCTAATATAATTTCGGCACACCAACTTTCAATTAACCAAACGATGCCAGCTAAGTCATGTGGATAGGTTAGGAGAAAATGCAAAAGGACCCTCTGATTATAATTTTTTTATAAATTCACCAACTTATTGCAATTTAAACGTAGGGTTGGGAAGATGGGTCACTACAATAAAATTTCAAATATTCCAGATGTGATCTCTTCATATCAAGGATTGTGTTCGACTGTACCTAGAGCATAGTTCAGCTTACAACATCCTCATCATCAGCATCCTTCATACTATAATTAATTTCTTTGAAGAATTACTCCACCACGTTAACCCATCCAAGTAATCAATATCCAAAAAATTTCTACTTAGCATCCAAATATGGTATTACCAAATCATGTATGACCACTCCCCAATGCATCCACCACCCATTTCAACATAAATTTCAACCTCAACCAACAACCATTAACTTCAGAAGATTTATGCTCATGCAACCAGATGTATATTCGATCTGTCTGCTTCACTACCGCCCCGCATCACAATGCTCATGAGGCGTAGTGAGGCGCGCGCCTTTGAAACCACTAGTCGTTTGATGTAAAAACCTTCCTGAAAGAAAGATAAGCAGTTTGTGCTTAACCATAATGCCAATTTCAATAAATAGTTCAAAAGAGTATCATAGCTTCTAAGGCAATTCCATGCATGATATATATCGTTATCCCCTTGTACATGCGAACTTCTCCTAGGCCCCTAACCAAGGTTTTAAATATCGGTTATCGGGAATTTATCGGACGGCCAAAATTCTTATCGGATAGCGGAAATCGGGGATAATACTAGATGGTGTATATATATAATATAATAACTAAAAAATGTAATCTAACCATGCTTAATGAAATATAAACATACCAAAATGTAAATCATCATGTTTAAAATCACTAACCAATTGTAAAAAGCAAAACTTACATTTTGACCGCACAATGAAACCATTCGATTGCATAGTCTTACTTATCGGCCGATAATCCCGATAAAAAAACCTTATCGGCCGATAAGTACCGATAACGCCGATAACTCCCCGATAACTTGCCAAAAACGATAACCGATTAAAAATCCAAGTTATCCTATCGGAGAGCTCCCAAATCCGATAACTCGGCCGATAATATCGATTATCGGCCGATATTTAAAACAGTGCCCCTAACTATTGAAAACATATCCATCCGATCAGGTTTGAAGATTTTTTTTATTTTTATTTTTTTTATACATCATGTAATTTACTTACAGAATAAGATACCTTCGTATCATGGAATATCACTCTGACACGGTCATTATCAGAGAAAAGAATGGTTACAGCCTGCTATGCTCACATTTCAAATTTTGAATTGTTAACTTATTTCCTATGGTTGGGAAATTCGGAGGATTGTGTGTGCTCATCAACAAGGTCCATAATCCGCATGATCAATGAAACTTCAACATATATTCAAGAATTTCCTTTCCACATTTCCTTGACAAGGAGTTTCCTACCAACTGAATAAGGTGTTGGAACAAAATGTTAGTCAAACTTCCAGTCAGTATGTCCCTAATGAGATTTGTAAATCCATATTGATGGGAAAAAGATTCGGTTCACCATGATGATTTCTGGAATCCTCACTGACTTGTACTACACTGAAAGAAGACATAACTAGTTATGCCATTGATTTAGCTGGTGGTGACCATGCACAAATTTGTCGATCTTGCAAGACTGTAATCTGATCATATTATGTGGTAAACTGAAAAGGTGGTAAAATAGAGGATTGGCAAAGGATTTGACAAGTGCCAGAAGCAAAAATACAATTGATCTTGGTGACAGTGGTCTCTAAATTACGGAGATTGCCGATGCAAACCAAATAAAGCCACTTCAAATAAAGACATTCATTGTTAAGAGGGAAAGAAAGAAAAGAGAAGTGGTAATGCCATAAACTAACTTTAGATATAAACATCTGTGATATTTGACAAGAATATGATGCATACCAAATTCTGTTGACCACAAAGCAACAATACCGCCTCCGATCTGACCATCTCCAGGAAACTGTTATACAAAAAAAAGTCAACGCCCACATTCAGCCAAAAGCACAGATAGATAATGAGTATTGTAAAAACATACCATATGCGAGTTTGTGCCATCCTTTTGACACCACTCTCAATCAACACGGACAGCAAGAATATAACAGACGCAAGAATAGAACAGACACATAAATCTAAAGCTTTCCTCAGAATGTTCTGATAATTGCTAGATCCACACACTGCTACAAGAGCTACATCCTCTGATATCAGTCATACACACAAATACTTGAAATTTTTGTTTTTATTTTTTTCGATTTTACAATTAATATCTCCTTGAACACTTCAGGAAAATGTGATCATGATGCAGCGGTCATACCAAAGACAGCAAAAATTTTCCACCCAGGGAAAGATGTACTTGTCCTTTATCTGCAATTTCAATATGCACAAAGAACCTAGCCAGCAACAATATAATATATAACTATGACTGGCAGATACTTACAGTCCCTGACTAGAATTTTTGGTGGACAAAATAAGGCATGATAGCATACTTTTCAAGAACGTTTGTCAGGATCTATTAAATTGATACAGACAATGCAAGGGCGTGCCAGCATAGCTTAAAATCATGAAGTTTTTCAGCATGCACAAAAGATTGGCAAAACTTCTACTCAACAGCCCATAAGCAATATGATCCTCCAAGAATACAAGTCCAAAAGCGTATATATACACACAGAATAGAGCATTTAGCTTCCCACGGTTTCGTAGTCCCACCTCATATTGAGGTAAAAAATATATGTGATTTTTTTATTTATTTCTTGTGTGTTGTATAGCTTAAAATATTTCCATGATATATGATATTTAGATATCTTGTCTTCATTTATTATTCAGATGAGACATGCTATTGCCACCACGATAGGACTGAAAGGACTTGGGGGCCTACTGTTCATTTTCAGCAGCTCGTTTGGAGCTTACCTCCTGGTATGGCTTTCTTGCTTGTTCCCAACTTGTACGTTTTTCAATTTGTAGCCTCATGACTCTAAACTGTGTTATCATTTATTTGACAAACAAAATGTTTTTCGTGTTATATACCCCTTAAATCATGCGTAATTTGAGAAATTACCTCTCAAATCTCAGTATTTGCACCCCTCCCCACCCCCACCCCACCCCACCCCCCAAAAAAAGAAAAAAGAAAAGAAATAACCTGAAAAGAAACAAAACAAAACGCATGCACCTGTATATAGCAAGGATCAAAGTTGAAGCATAGATGAAACCAGCAACTAATTCTCTAAATTCCTTAGACCAGGAAAACCCCAATCAAAGTGATATAATGACACAGTTTACTGCAGCATATTTATCAAATCTACAGAATTTTGGTTCTTAGGTGCAGAGATTTTGAACTGTATGATGAATACCGCAGTATATTCAAAAGCTAGGCTTGTTCAAGAAACAATTATCGACCAATAATCATCTGGACTCAAAAGACAGAAAAAATATAGCCTGCACAATCTGACAAAAAAACACTTGTACTTGATGAGGTAAATTGTCATATTAGGTTAACCACAGCCCAAGCAATTAAAATTTAGACCCATCTGTTAGTCACAAATCAAGTACAGAAGTATTAACTATACAAACTTGACAATAATTTAGGATGCCCAACCCAACTTACATCTATAGCTCGTGCAAGGGCATACCAAGACCATTGCCAATGATACAGAATCATGTGTTAGTTGAAATGGCATATACGAGAGGACACAACAATGCAACGCTCACACGCCAAAAGCCCAAAAGGACAGCAAGCAGTCGCAGTTGTAACAGGATTATATATTCTCCAAGTCACGAGTTGAAGCTAGCATCAAGATATGCATGAGCAGCTCCTCCACCATCAAGAGTGAAAAAAAACATCAAGAAACTGTTCGACCATAGCACACAGATGCGATGTATAGATTCTTTGCCCATTTTTCCTGCAAGGAATGCATAAATATCATACATTTGAATGACATGGACCATAAAGATTAACCCAAATGAAAAACGACTGAACTCAAGCACACCTTGACATGTTGACTAGGGAAAGCAGATGTTCGAAGTGTTTCTTGTGTTTCATCTGAAGGCTTCCTTCTGGGTACACTTAGAACAAATGCAGCTTGATCCCATGTTGCAGCAGTTGCAGTTATTCGATAACCATTATCCCATCTTCGGTGAATACCTTCACTAGGGTACAAAAAGTCAAGCTCAACAACCTGGAGAAAGGGTAAAGTATAATCAGTAAACTTCTCATATTTTAGCTGGCACATACTACCAAGAAGCTTAAGTACAGAATACAACCTGATCAGAAAAGCCTGCATTACGAGACATCACCACCCCCCATCTGGTGCCTGCAGTTGCCATGGAAGTGACATAGAATCCCTCTCTCCATTTTTTGTTTATCCACTTGAATGGAAATGAATCACTAACTTTATACGACTGCTGTGCATACTGGGTACCTGAAGCAGAAGCTATATAGAAGTTTACGAGCCTATAAAACAATTTTGTCAATGAGAAACTCCATAATGACAAGAAAAATACCAAAAAAGGGGATACCTTTAGACATTACTACTAAGGAGCTGCCATTGTTCGCCCCTGCTAATGCACTGATATAATAATTTTTCTCCCATTGCTCCATAATCCATTCCTTTATAAAGACAATATCATGAAAAAAGAAATCATCGATGAGCAAGAGTGCAACTTTGCAAAATGCATGGTCAATAGACAATAGCTTCTTAAACTTACTTAAAATAGAAAATCGCTTCCTCTCATTCTAAACCTAATGGCAGGAAAGAGAAGCACAGGAGAAAAGAAACATGTGATCAGGCACTCACTTTATGAAGAAAATTTGGTGAGAGCTCATAGACTTGAGCATTAAAACCAGTTCCTGCATCCATAATCAGAGCCCAGAGATTTGCACAAGAAGCAACACAACTGATATATAACCCGTCTTCATTTCCTTTCTCAATATGCTGAGCGAGCCTATTGTCAGCCACATTATAATGGTACCTGCAACAAGAGCGGATAGAAAACAAATGACATAATCTTCTTATCTGGTAATATACCTTGTATCATGCATTAGCCGGAACACACCTTTGCTTCATGGGTCTCCGAGCATTATAGACACTAATCCATTGCGTTGCAGGCATTCCCATACGAACTTTCTTCTTTGGTTGTTCATCATCATCTTCTTCCATCATCAATCGTCCTCTCTTTTGACCAACCTGGTATATAAGCTTTACAGCATTTCATTGACAATTAGATGCTAACAAATAGATAAATTTTAGTTGCCAGAATCAAACCCGCTTTGTATAATGAGTAGGGACTTTATTACCTTTTGAGCACCATCAGTGTTAATTGGCCTAATGTCTGGATTTGGACCCACTATACCATCAAAAAGAGAAATGCATTTGGCATAGTTAGGCTCTTCATCAAACTTTAGGTTCACAACATACTCAACAAAATGTCTAAATGGTGTTGGGCAAAAGCAACATAATGCCTCTGGAGATGTGGCCATCTTCTTCTTGCAGACAAGGAATCCTTTGTTTTCTCCCTACAAGAATAAGATGACAAGACATTTGAATCAAAAGAAAAATAACTAAACTATGAGGTTTTCTAAATACTGAACTATATGGTTATTACCTGGTATCCCTGCCAAGGTAAACGTCCACGGAGAAGAAATACAAGTGTGTAAGCGAGGGATTCTAAATCATCTCTCCTGCTTCCTGTCCTTCCTAAATGAGCATGTACGCTAGCATACCGCACTGTTCCTCTGTGATATCAAGTTGGAAGATAATGAGATAATTGAGAGATAAGCAACTGAGAGTATTAGGATCAGCATTAGAATGTATAGCTGAAATTTTACTATAAAAGCGTTTCTGGCATAGAATTAAAATTAATAACTACCTGAAAACATCAGGTCTTTGATCATACTCAACGTGCTGTCCAGTAGAACTGTCCTTCCATTTAGTGGCTGACATTTGTATTTAAAATTTTTAAAAAGATAAGAGAGAAACAGTTCCTTAATATACATGCCAGTCCACATTGATATAAGAGTCACCACTGTGACGTACCTAAACCAAGATCAACCAGAAAAAGTTTCTTCTCCTCAGGAGTCCCATGAGGTCCAAGTAAAAAGTTCTCAGGCTTTACATCTCCATGCACATATCTGCAATGAGAAGGTTTGGTCAATTCTAATAAATTTTAGAATTACAGGTATTTAATAATTAATAATAAATCACAAGAAAAATTGGCAGTAATCAGTTATCCCATAGTGTAAGGAGCAGGCCTACCCTTTAGAATGCATCTTCTCTAGAATAGAGATTGCTTCAATAGCAATACAAGCAACCATTTCTGTTGACATTCTGCAAAGAAAACAGTCCAGATTACATACTTACACAAACAGTAATTTAAGAAATTCACAAAAGAGGTTCAAATACTCACGCATGGGAGTTATTATTCCAAACATCCCATAGACTGGGTCCCAACATATCCATCACCTATACAAATAACAGGGTGATCATAGCAACATATATATAAACATAATATGAAAAATTCCATAACCAGGACGTTTATTATCAGTTACCATGACATAATAGTCCCCTTGGCGACCCTTGTAATGGACACGAGGTACCCCATGAATACCACCAAGGGTACTGCATAAATGAATGTCACATCACATAAGTTCTGTCATTAGGCTATCAACCATAATTCAGGATACAAGCATAAGAATGCTTACTTGTATACTTGCCACTCATAAGGTGGTCCATAATTACAACCTTTACTGCTTCTATGCTCAAACTTTATTGCTACCTAGCATGCACAAATGAGAAGGATTATACAGAACAGTTAATTAATAGGGTCTTCTTCGAGAATAAGGCACTGTTAAATTTGTTCTAGATATATAGCTGATCAAATAACCTCAATAGCGCTGGAAGCACTTATCCTATCGCTTGCATTAGTAGCTGAAATTCGGCGACCAACGTACACTTGTCCAAATCCTCCTTTTCCAAGTTTCCTTTCAATTTTATAAACTGGTGAATTTACAATTTGGACCTGTAAAAGAAAATCCAGGCTGAGAGCAAGCAAATGAAAACAGTACAAAAAAGGAGCTATTGTCTATGAACGTATCAGTATGTTGAAATAAATATAGGAGAAAACATCCAAACGGTCAACAATCATGAAATTAGGGGATGAAGTGTTTCAAGGAAAAGAAAAAATGTTGGAACCACAACCAAAATTTGCTTTCAGTGACTAAAAACACGTCTCTCTTCCTTTAAAAAGAATCTGAATTATCGAGTAATGGTAGCAATCAACTAGCAACAATGCTATTGTTAATAAAGAGGATGGAATCAATAAAGAATACAAAAAACCAGGTTATATTATATAGTGCAGCATATGTTTATAGCTGCCTGTGAAAAGACTTTGGGGGCCATTCCATATCGGTGACAACATTAAAGAAGGAATTTGGTGCAGGAAAGTGCCAGGCCCAGCTTTTGGGTCAGCACATGAGTTTTTTCCAGTAAACTACACAGAACAATCATTGACAGGAACCTTGTATCACAACGTAGCCATTCATTGTATGTAGGGGATTCATAGATTTTGAAGATACCAATTCAAGTAGGAATCTAAGCTTGGATTCCCTACCAGCCTCATAAGTGCCAAAATTCCAGAAAAAAAAATAAAAAATAAAACCAGACAAGGGAAAGTGGTGAACAAAAAAACCAGTCCCAGACCGAACTGAAAACAGACCAGCTACTCTTTTAATCCTTAACCATAGGAAACCCACACATTCTTTTTTAAAAGTTTGATGTATAAAAATAATCCTATTACACTTTCAAGCCTAAACATAAAGCATAAGTTGTACTCTTCCCCAAAGCTGGCCTTAAGGATTATGTCCTGCATGGCCGGTCCACAGTGGCAGAAGCACCTTGGTTAGCTAACTAAATTCACGCTCCATAGATGAGTTTTTCCTATGATTCATGCAGAATTAGACCACACTCAACTGAATTAACTGTAAAGTGACACTTGTTTGCTAATAGAACCAGATATATCACTGAGTGAGGACACAATAAAATGAGAGACAGGGTTCTTACTTCTTGCTGTGGCTAAACTCAGACTCTAATTACTAAGTATCCGGTTCCAAGAAATAAGATAAATAGATTTACAAACTCAAATAACCATCAGTTACTTAAAATGGGTCTGTTCCCTTTCCAACAGAATCAAGACTTAAACATGAAGTGAAGAAATTTCTTTCAATTGTTCAATACCTAAGAGTAAAAGAGTCAACGAATGTAGAAACAACCTAAGCATATTATTCCTTCAGCAACTTGAAAATCATCTCGCCGAAAGTTAAGGCAAATAACTTTCTCCATCCATACATAGTGAGAAGAAAAGAAAGAACATCATTTCTTCTTCTCCCCATTCGAAGCAATAAAAAGTTTTCTATAAGCATTAGGAAAGAGAGAAAGTGGACTTGACGATTCATAGATCAGAGCACTATATATTTGTCCGGTGACTTGAATTTTTCTCCAAACAAAATCTGGAAGTGAAATGCAGAAAACAAGAATTATTAACTCAACCAACTAAAATTCTCGAATTTACCATAAAAATCTACATTACTGGTTTTTTTAATGCTCTAATCCAATCATATAACCTTGTATATGGTAACAAGCTGGACACCCTAACCATATGTTCTTCAAACTTAAAATAAATGAAAGAAACATAAATAAAGGAAAGAAACAAATATTTACATTACAACATCCACAATCACTCAACTACTTCAAAGAAAATAGCATTGACCTCTCAATATCATTTAAACAAAAAAGACATTTGCTAGCAAGATCCCTAATTTCAAAGCAAAATCACAAGAAAGAGCCCTAACCTTTTCAGGAATCGGAGCAGCGCTCTCGTCCTCAGCCCCCGGGACCTTGTCAGCACTTTTAGCTCCGCTATCAAAATCGTTCATTTTCCTCTCTCCAACCCCTTCCTCGTCAAAATCGTTCTCGTTATTCTCCTCTCCTCCTTCTAACAACACGATCTCCTCCGCTTTCAAATTCAAATCCTCACCGTTCACACCCGCGGTATCATCGGCCGCAACCGCCGCCGCCCCTCTCCGGTTCCTCGCCGCCCCTCGCTGGTTCCTTGTTTGCGTTAGCGCGTTCGGATTAGGGTTCGCCCGTCCCCTCCGCGCTCCGCTTCGCAGAACCGGCATCGTCCTTCATCCATCCAATCTCATGCCCGATTCACCCGAAATTACGTCCGATCTGAAAAAACTAGCTCGAATTCGGGTTAGTGTTTGAGGATTTGGGAATTCAAGCACAACGGAATTCGAGAAGCGAAAAGGGAATAGGAATGAGAAACTAGTAGAGAAAATAGAAATTAGATCGCGAGAGGCTGGGGACAATATTGATTTTTAACTTTTGAAGGGCAAGATTGGAAATGAAAAAAGAAGGCTCGGTGATTTGGTGAGGGGAAAGAGAAGTTTCTGGATGATTTATAGTAGCAGAAAGGTCGGAAAAGATGGTGAAATGACGGAAAGAGCAGCAGGTTTCAGGTTTTCTTCAATCGTACCCCTGACAGTCAACCTCTGGAAATTAGATAAATTTTTATCCAACGAACTATTTCCTCGCAGTGAAGAATTACAAAAGAAATTATAATTGACACCATGAAATTAATTTAGAAATCTAGAATTATTTCTAGTATAAAAGATAAGGCAGGTATACAGTTAAAAATTTTAGATTATGAATTGGACAAATTTTTAAAACAGACACATTTACAAAAATATTCCCAAAAAACGACTCGTTTCAACATTATTCGTCAAAACCGAAATAGTTTCAGCTCGCGTTTCAACATTATTCATCAAAACCGACCTAGTTTCAGCCGTCGGGCTGAAACTAGGTCAGTTTTGACGAAAAAATATATGAAACTGCACGGGACTTTTAGCAGACATTTAACTAAGCTGCTAAACTTTACGGGACTTCAAGTCCCGTGAAGTTTCATAGTTCAAAACAACTTCACGGGACTTCAAGTCCCGTGAAGTTTGAGCTTAATTTCCAGACTCTAGAAATTCAGCCTGCAACTTAAGTCCCGTGAAGCTGCATGTTTTTTTATATATGCAACGGTTTTTCTAAATGCATTTCACAATAATATACATGAAATTTTCGCCATGAATCAAACAATATATATTGAATCAAACAATATATACTTAATCAAACAATAATCACAGATATACTGAATTACAACAATATTCTTAAAATTCAGCCATGAAACAAACACGAATCAAACAATACTCACAAAATCACATATATAAACAATAATCGATCCACAAAAGTATAGTATTTGAAAAATCCTAAAAGTAACAAATTTCAAAAAAATAAGATCACATACAACGCAAAATTCCTCCTCTCCTTCCTATCCCTCTCTTCCCCCTTCCCCTCGCTCTTCCCCGCCCCTTGCGTTCCTGCTGATGAGCCTCGATGATCTGAGTATCTGGTTGGCATAGTCAATATTTGTATCTCTCTCATTCTGTATGAAATCTCACCTATGAATTCACTTGTCTATGTAGGCCGCATGGAATACGGCCCAGTCGGTACGATGCGATGTAGGTCATCACATATGATCGCCTCGACAGGATTCAGCACATGCTGAGAGAGCAAAAATTACCGTAGCACAAAGTCGGGGACATGCATCTACACAATCTCCCAACATATCAATGGAACTCTGGCTCTTCACAAGTCGGGACTATCTTGGCAGATAGGTGCAAAAGTATGCATATCGAGCTCCGGCGGTGTACATGGGCTCCATTTGAACTGAAATAAGATAAAACATTTATCAGTATCAACAACAAAACTATAATATTCATAACGAATTGAGTTTTATATTTATCTATTGGTGTTGGAGGCATCAAGTTTATTTCGGTAAAATTAGAAATCAACACCTAATCATAACTAGACATCTGCTTTTGTTGTGGCTCGGTTGATCACATCTACTATACTTATTTTTCCTCCTATTTCCTTCTCAACCGCTATCCATACTGTTTCTAATTCGTACAGAATGAGGGCGCCCAGTTAATCTTCTGTACAAAGGATGTAATATTTATGGCCCGTCTTGTGCCCAATATCAACTATCATAGATGAAAACACTCTTTGAACGTTTATTAATATTTGTAAGTTGAATATCAATTTATGATGAATTTATAATGTGAAATCCTCACACCGCCTTGTAGATCAAAGCAAGCTGTGACAACATGTGAACAAGGAATCCATTATAGTTGTGGTACATTACAAGTGCACATACATGTGTGATCCACTAGCATATTGACTTTGTAAGAGCGACTTTCTCTATGTGATATTCCCTCAATGACCTCACATTCATTAAAATTGTATCTTACGACACGAAATAATCGAGCTTGCACAATCTGATATGCTAATATGTCTTCAACCTTCGGTATGAGCTCTGAGATGATATTTGCACCAAGTGTGTGACGTCGGAGAAAGAATTTGTAAGTCTGTAAAATGTTTTAGCAACTAGTGACTGTATTGGCATATTGCGTGCTCCCCTAAGCACACCATTGAAACTCTCAGAAGCGTTTGTAGTCATCATGCAGAACCGTTTCCCACCATCTTCACATAAAGCCCACTTATCAACATTGTGTGGACCTAAACTAGTTTCGATCCATTCATGTGCAGCTCGTGAAATGAACTTAATCCTCTCTCATATTTGATCATAAACTAATTTTTCAGTTGCACACCCAGCTTGCCAAAGAAGATCTTGAACCTATTCGTTTCCATGCTTCTTCTTGAAATTGTCCCTAATATGTCGCAAGTAATAACGATATTGATGGGGCGACGAGAAATGACATTGGAGTGTTATTGGAATTTCTTTCATCCTATCAGATATGAATGTAATCGACCGCGCCCCCACACTAGGAATATGATATCTAATGCATGTAAAAAACAATGTCAAATTCTCTATGTTTTCAACATCAACCACTACAAGCGCCAAAGAAAATAATCTGCCATCCGCGTCAACTCCGGTTACAACAAGCAATACGCTTTTATACTTACCGTACAAGTGGGTGTCATCAATGCTAAGAAGAGGACGATAATAAGTGAAACCCTCAATACAAGGCCCAAATGCCCAAAATATATCTGTGAACTGTCATTCTCTGCCATCAACAAGGTCTGATGATACTTCATAGATTGTTCCCAGATTTTCTTTTTTGAGTGCTTCGAGATAATATGATAAGATCTCATAAGATTTATCCCAATTCCTGAATATTTTTATCACCGTCTTTCTCCTAGCATTCCAACACTTATTGTATGATACATCCAATTTGGTCGCTTTATGCACTAAAAGATATCTTTTGGCCTTAGATCAAGATCCTCCCTTAGATTAGGTATAATCAATCGATATATGGCGGATACATATTTATGATTCATCTCTAATTGAGAATTGCTACATGTGTGGAGTCCGTTGTATTGTGTGATTTTAAATTGTCCGTCTACTCTTACACTCAAGTATGAATTAAGCTTCCAAGGACATTTTGCATTGTCTTCATGGTTCCCACCACTATCATCTTCTTCGTCATCTTTGCGGTAAAAACAAACCACATTATAGCTTGTTGCATTGTTTTTTGTTGGCCTAAAATTGATAATTTTGGATGGCCTACAAACGAAGCGCATAAATCAATTCCTCCTTACTTTCAAATAGATCCCCTTTTTGAATGAGAAGTCCTCGCCTTGTGTATCATCAACGATATTATTGCCGATAGGAATACTTTTCATTATGGAATTATCAATCAATTCTTCTCTATGAAGTTCATCGGGCGGTAGATCCTCTAACACGACATATTCATTGTTAGTATAATATCCGTCAATATATTGGTTATCTCATTCATCACGATCTATCAAACACGTTATGCTATTAATTTGTAAGCCATCCTCTTCATCATCATCCTCGGATTCGACACTTGCATTATCATCTTGATGGGCCGTGTTAGTATCGAATGCATTTGAAGTGCCCACAAACGAAGGACCGCTCAAGTATTATGACTGTGTCTAGCCTTCATCTTGTTACGGAGATAAAAAGGTGACGGAGTCAACTTTAAGGTCCTCAAACATGCGAGAGTACATTCCGTCGTGATTCACCGATTTGCCGAAATTTCTCTAATGTTTTTCAATAAATAATTTTACCGAACGCTTCTCATCGTGTAATACTCCAATGAGACCCATATCACAGTCACTTGAGATTTGAATGTCGCTTGTTTTGTTCCCCTCATCAAGATAATTGTAAATAATATTAAGGTGATACTCACGTGAGTTGGTTAATATAAGTTTGTGTAAGTCATTAACTAATTCATCGAAAGTAAATGATTTTGATATAAACAACGGCTTCGTCACACCTCCTTCATAAATGGACATATTATTTTCGAGATAGTTAATCTTTCCATCATATGAACAAAGAATTACGATTCGATCGTTCATCGTTACCTCTGAAGAGTAAAAAATTCAATATCAATATTACACGAAAAACTTAAGAAAATGTTACTTACCATTAAATCTCTTGGATCGATTTTAGAAACCTATAATTTTAACCAAATGTCAAACATTTGTAGTAACTTCACGGTTACAAATTAGAAACCTATAATTTTAACCAAATGTCAAACATTTGTAGTAACTTCACGGTTACAAATTTTGATAATTTCCCCTCTAACTTCATACACAATATTGTCAAACATTTGTAGTAACTTCACGGTTACAAATTTTGATAATTTCCCCTCTAACTTCATACACAATATTATTTTATTTTTCTTCACAAAATTCATAAATAATTCCAAATTTATTTCAAAATCTAATTTTTTATAAGTAATCACCAAGAAATTGTGAGAATATAAAAAAAATTAGGATTAAATTTTTTTAAAGATTTTACCTTAATATTGACGATAATTTTTAGTGAACTCCAACGGTGACGACGATAGTGTTGTATGGTGGGGCCGACAGTAGGTTCGACATCAGCGTCGGTGTTGGCGGAGGTGCGGGGGTAAGGGGCATCGGGTTCAAGAGAGCAGCTAGGGTTTGGGTGAGGGGTGTTGGGTTCAGGAGAGGGGTCGCGTGGGATATGAGGACGTGGGTCACGGGAGTGATCGCGTCTGCCTTATATTGGTAAAGCAAAACTCCATGGGACTTGAAGTCTCGTGGAGTTGCAGACTGATTTTTCCAGAGAGTAGTTTCTTTGGAAAATATGCCTGAAACATCACGAGACTTCAAGTCCCGTGAAGTTTCAGAGCTGAAACGAGCTTCACGGGACTTGAAGTCCCGTGAAGTTTAGCAGCTTAATTAAATGGCTACTAAACTTTACAGGACTTCAAGTCCCGTGAAGTTTGGGAGCTTCTTTCGTCAAAACAACCGACCTAGTTTCAGCTCAACAGCTGAAACTAGATCGGTTTTGACGAATAATATTGAAACGGGTCGTTTTTTAGGAATATTTCTGTAAATAGGACTGTTTTGAAAATTTGTCCTTGTGAATTATATGATTTGTTTATGGCCATTAAAAAATTTACAAAAATAACGTTGAGACCTAAACTAAAAATCTTGTCTTCTTTCCACCAATATGTTGGTTCTTTCTTACAACTTTGATACCATAATATTTCTGCACCTTTGCCTTGCAACCTCATTTGCGTTAAATATTATATTCGTCATTTGCAAGAGAATATTTCTTAGGAAAATGATAGAGGCACATCCCCAACCATAACTTTAACCACAACCCCTCTCTCATTTGCTACAGTACACCGGGCCATAGGATTTTAAATTTTTAAAATCCCATATGAGACCCGGTGCACTGTAGCAAATAAGAGAGGGAGTGTGATTAGAGTTGTGGTTGGGGGTGTGGCCCTAGTAGCACCCTATTTCTTACAATCTTTCAGGAACAACACATGGAAGGCCAAACATTTGAGAAAGTCATTTTTATATTTATTAAATATACATACAAGTCCCCATTGCGATACAGCTCACCATCACACTGAATGACCATTAATTTTCTTTTTTTTCCTTTTTCGTTAATTTTGGAAAAATAAACTACCCAGCGTGGAAGAACAACGTCATGCTCCCTTTTTAACCTTAGCTTCAATGTTTGTTCAGTTCATGTTTGAGAAAATTTTCTATTGGTTCTCTGTACAGTTTATTCCCCAATCTTGAATATGAGATCTCTCATTAATCCAAACCCGATTTTGAACCCGGACTAAATAAAGACATACACTGTAGAAGGTTGCAAGGGCATCGAATCTGAAGAGGCAAAAGGTATTTCTAGCAAATCACATATTCACTGTATGCTCCACTTGTAACTACAAATATTTGTCCACACATATCCCTGTGTCCACCTAAGTACTGCATAACATCAAACACCCTGTTCGTATAGTATTATTACATTACACTTGAAATAATATGCATGTGAGATGTAAAAGAATAGACTATAAAGCCTCTCTACAAAATGAAAACATTTACATTGTATAAAGAGTGAGAAATGTTACTATCAAGAAAGAAGGAAGAAAATCTCTGGCTAAGTTACGGCAAACTTGTGTCTCCAAGCCCCATAGATTTAGCTACTTCTCTGGAGGAAAAGTCATCTGCTTGTTCCTGAAATTATCAGCAGAAAATTGAGTATATCAGCTGCGATTTGTATTTGGATGCATTTACAACCCTTAGTTAACCATTTAAGTGCACAGCTTACAAGTACGGAAAGGCCAAGAAAATTTTCAAACATTAAACCTTGATATATCAAGGACAAAGCGACTCTGCACAAATAGTAACTATTTGGGGTAGATTACACTAAGCCCCAAGAACTTTCAGCATTTTGCAGTAAACCCCAATAACTTTCAAAATCTCACCAAAACCCTCAATAACTTTGATATTGCAGAAAATCCGCAATTAGTTTCCCCGTTTTGCAGACAACCCCCATAAATTAGAGCAAAAAACAACAAAAAAAGCAATTTGAATGTCAGTGGGGTTTAGTGTAATTACCCAAAAGATGCTGGGGGGTTTCTGCAAAAGTTATTCAAGATTTAGTGTGATTTTGAAAGTTATTGGTGGTTTACTATAAAATGCTGAAAGGTCTTAGGGGTTTAGTTTAATTTACCCTAACTTTTTCAGCTCACACGACAAATTTTTTATTTTTTTAAATCATCACCTTAATCCAAGTTAATATTTTAGAGAGCATAACCCAGTACTTGCTGGTAAATGAAACAAATTTATGCCCAATAATTGCTAAAATTCAAAAACATTGACAAATAATATCTTCTGTTAAATAATTTATAACATCTTCTGTTAATAATTGCTAAAATATATAGTTTGGTGATTACTAAGGCATAGAGATAATAAGCATACCTGAAGCCGGTGCAACAAATACATCAAGAATAAGTGCACAAATACCTGCAAATATGAAACGCGGAATATATTAATTCTTAACCAGCACTTCCTGGGCCTTTGGCGTATATAATCCTGATAATCAAATAAGGAGAAATAAGCCATTTCTAACCAGATAGAAAAGCAAAAGGACCCGAGCAACAGGATAACGCCATAGAAATCTAGTGGCCCTGACAGCTCCAGTATCTAAAAACTTGGCAGCTTTTTGCAACTGCGAGAAAACATAACTTTCTGAAATTAAGAGAGCGCAATAAAAGCTAAGAGGTGGAGACTGGAGACACAAAGAAAGAAAATAAATCACCTGTACACTTGCGCCAGCCATGTGGCGGTGGTGCAAGGGAAGAGGCCTGCAAAATAGCTGTTAATAGATAGAATTCTAAAGCGCTCAAGCTTCTATAATTATATGATAGGGAGAAAGATAAATAGGATGAACAAAAGATAATGCCAATTAAATCAAGTACAGGCTGTTGTACACACATATTCTAGACAGAATTTGGAGGAAAAAAAATCTTGACTTAATTGCCAACAAGATGTACACTTTTAGTTCTATAGAAAAGAAAAAGAAGGGATTGTCGACATAGAAATTGGGTAGTCAAGCACGTCGAACAGTAAGACGGACAAAATTCATAGGTATAGGTCGACAAACTAATAAAGCATTCTGCAACAAGATTGAGCTACCAATTCTGTAACATTAATATAAGTTAAAAGTTTTATGAAGGAAGTAAACATACTCAAGTGCTTTTATATCAGTATCCTCCTCCCATACTGCCGATGACCGTCTAGAAACTCTATTTCTTTCAGCTTCTACCTATCCAACAAACATTAAAGTGGTAATATAATTTCCATGGCTTTCCAGAATAGTGAATAAACAAAGGTACCTGTGCTTCTTGCAGACGCCTCGCCTCTTTCTCAAGCTGGAACTCCGCTGCAGCCTTTTCACTGGCCATGGCTTCAAGTTGTGTTTGCTTATGATACTGAAATAGGTTACACAGGTGAAGTCTCGATACTAATTTTCTGAGCATATGATCACTAATTAATACGTGCAAATCATTAAGTTGAAACATACCAACAGATCAGTTAGCTCGCGATAACGTTTCTCTAATTCCATATGTTCCTGCAAATAAATGACTTAAACAAATATAAATTGTGTAAAAAAATCATCATCAAGTACACAAAAAAAATAGTGAACATTGCTCCTCAATTCAACTGCCACTAGATTTGACATGTTCTATCAAGCTAAGGATACCTAACAAGGGAAATAACGGCTGAGGAGAAGGTAGAGGTGAAGCAAAATGCCAAGGGTTTATATGCTACTGAAGTAAACCACAACAATGTTATGACTTGCCACAGCCTATCACTCTGGTTTAAAACTGTTCCTCAGACCCATTTGAAAAAAATAACTACTCAAACAAATGTCCTAAGTCCCAACAATCTAGAATAATCGTCTAGAAGAAACTCCTCATTAAGTTGAATGCAGTTGGAGAACCAAGGTTTATAAACACAGGAGAATTTTTAATCCATGCCACCTCTAACTGCAGGGTTCATATTACAACTGGAATTCCAAATTCTAAACTCATTCAAATTGTTTTCAGTTTCAGTCTTCCAAGAATCAAAAAGGGTCACCACCCGAAAGTCGCCTAGTGATTGGGGCCTTGGCTCAAAAAGCCATATTTATTAGGCATTACAATACCTCTGCTATTCACCTAGGCCTGGACTGTGAAATGGGGGCCCCAGGCCTCAGTGTTTACTTGGTTGGTACTAAGCCAAGGTTCCTCACACCGGAAAAAAGAGAATAAAGAAGGGGATAGTCTATTCGCTCATGTTATATGTGATTACTGTGAATCACACATCCTACATTTTCTCAAATTGCTAAAATCAAACAGGATCTAAGCAAAAGACGAGAGTTATCTCATATATGTTATGCAACTATTCTTATTTAAGCCATATTGTCCTAATATTTTGGTCTGTCCAACTAACTAATTAACTTACAGAGAGAACACACCTCCATTCAAAAATTTCTCTGTTTGTGAGTTGTATTTGTGCATGTGACTTCCATTCTTTCCATTTAAATTTGGAGAAATTTTTGAAATGGGCAAGTTTTGATAAATATTTAGTAAAAACGACCGTTTTGCTAAATATTTAGCAAAACCGACCTCCGGTGAGCTGGCAAAAAAGAGGTCGGTTTTGTTGAATTTGAGTTTTAAAACACACGGGACTAGTAGTCCCGTGTGTTTAGTGGCCGCTAATCAGCCACTAAACCCAACACAAAAAATCCATGAGACTACTAGTCCCGTAGGTTTTGTGTTTCACTATTACAAAAACCCACAGAAAACCCACGACGATCACATTATCAGAGAAAATTGCATAATGATAAAGATCTGGATTTATGAGATCCAGAGAGTTAGGGTTAGGGATCAGCTTTTTGTATCTCTTAGGATTGTTGATCCAATCCCCCATCAGTCTCACATTGAGGTAGTGGATCGATTTAGGGGTGGATCCGGCAGCGATCTGACTGGATAGCGAGCCTGAGAGGAGGAGAAAAGGTCTTGGAAAGTGGAGAGATAGAGAGGAGAAGAGCTTGGAGTGGCGAGTGAGGGAGGAGTAGGCATGAACGAGGACGAGGTGGTCGAGGGCGTGGCGGTGGAGGAGGAGGAGGCAGGTGCGGAGGGGATCGGAGGAGCTGAGGAAGAGGAAGCTCTGTCGATGCCGAGCTCCAGCGAAGAACGATGACGACGACGATGGAGTGTCTTGGCCATTGGTGGTGGAGTCAGCTAGGTTAAGGGAGGAGGAGGAGTGAGAGGAGAGGATGACGGAGAGAGAGGTCGTGGGTTTTATAATAGTGAAATAGAAAACCCACTAGACACACTGGATTACTAGTCCCGTGTGTTTCAAAACTTAAACTCAGCAAAACTGACCTCTTCATGGCCAGCTCTCGTAAGGTGGCCAAAAAGAGGTCGATTTTGCTAAATATTTAGCAAAACGGTCGGTTTTGCTAAATATTTATCAAAACTGGCCCATTTCAAAAATTTCTCCTTTAAATTTTATGGGAGATGTGATGTTTACATCTCCTCTTTCTTATTCAATAGAACAGGCCAATTGGCATAAACCTTTTCCCCAGTCTGTGCAAGAGGTAGGGGTGTGGACGAAGCTGTAAAAGAATAAAGCGCAAGTAATCTAGCAATACAAAAACACATGACCCACCGAGGAGGAGTGAGAGGAGAGGAAGAAGGAGAGAGAGGTCGTGGGTTTTATAATAGTGAAATAGAAAACCCACTAGACACACTGGATTACTAGTCCCGTGTGTTTCAAAACTTAAACTCAGCAAAACTGACCTCTTCATGGCCAGCTCTCGTAAGGTGGCCAAAAAGAGGTCGATTTTGCTAAATATTTAGCAAAACGGTCGGTTTTGCTAAATATTTATCAAAACTGGCCCATTTCAAAAATTTCTCCTTTAAATTTTATGGGAGATGTGATGTTTACATCTCCTCTTTCTTATTCAATAGAACAGGCCAATTGGCATAAACCTTTTCCCCAGTCTGTGCAAGAGGTAGGGGTGTGGACGAAGCTGTAAAAGAATAAAGCGCAAGTAATCTAGCAATACAAAAACACATGACCCACCTCCACCCTCACCCCCCTTTCTTTTTTAATGATTTGACTATTTAAACTAGTGTAACTCAGAAACTTAGTTTCTTTCAATTAGAGGAAAAGGTACATCTAAACCAATCCAGATTCAACTCATACACAAGCAAACTTTGATCCAAAAAACTAATATTAGTAGAGATGGGTTAAGCATACTCATTATAAGGAAAAATATTATAATTGAACCAACTTGCCTGCCGCGAATAATGCTCCGCATCTCTTTTCATTCCTGCCATTTCCACTCTCATTTTTTGTAACTCAGCCTGTCAGGTTTTTATAAAGAAAGTAAACAAAGAGAATTATATCCTTCCTCATGAAACAGTTAACTAAATTAATTCTAAAAGACGAAAAAAACACAAATAATGTATGGCTTTCTATTTAGTCGACCTATAGAAAAACATCTGCAAGGAGGGGGAAAAAAAGAATATTATGATAGTTTTGATAGAACTTTTAAAAGAAATACCTCCAATGAAGAAAGCTTTGTCTCAGCATCTCTTTGACCTTGACGTGCACGCTCCACTTCCTCTTGCCATGCCTGCATCTAAATGTTTCAAAAGTAAAAGAAAATTAAGACAAACTGGAAGCATGGCAACTTCCACGCCTGCTTCTAAAATGTTTTTTAAGCCAAAAGTAAATAACATTAACGTAAACATAGAAAGTATAGATATGGACGCAAGATAACAAAACAATGACATGATAATATATGATTCTGTGTAGATGCTCATGTATCACGCATAAACACCTTAGTGATGTGCATGTTATATTGAAGCACAAAGGAAGAAAATTATTAATACAATGGTTTCTTTTTTGGCTGGTCAGGGTCCATTGTTTTAATCAACAGATCAAATTAAAGTCTGACATTCAATCTATTATCTCCTACATGACCCTTCGCATGTTTACAAGGTGCTCATGTTCTATTAAATACTTAATGTCGCATCTCATTATGCCAAAGGATCTCTTCCAGTTTTAGTCCACTCCAAGAAGACTGACCTGCAATTTTCACATTTGTTATGAAACTGCTCCGACATAGTTATAGGTTTTCTAATCGCCTGGGAAGGCAAGTCAGATGTACGCAAGCAGATGTTATGAGTCTTGATGTCCAACACAAGTTGAAAGAAATTACCACATATAAATTAGCTTTTTTTCTTAATCCTACAAGGTGCCAGAGCATACCTGTCTCTAATAACTTCCCTCTTTGGTTTTCGTACTACTCTATACTCAGATTTCTAGTTTGATAATACTAACAATGTAATTATGTTTACTGGATGACATTTTTAATAATCCTGTTTTTACCTGAAGGATTTGGCTAGCTTCTTCAGAGGACTTTTTTTGTCCACGACGATTGCGTGCCTCCATATCTTGCAATTCTTGTGTAAGAGATGCGCATTCCACCTGAATGACATAGAGAAACGATTTACGATGTTTTTCTTAAATGGACACATGAAGAAACAAAAAGAAAAATACCTCAAGTAAAGCAACTTTGTGCTCCAGGTCAGTGGCCCTTGCCGTGCTCTCCTCCGCTGCCCTCTAAATAAAAAAAAATCATGTCAGAAATCAATAGGTATACAAACTGATCAAACTACTTGATAGCATATTATACCATATGCATTACAACCATGAATGACATAAGGTAAGACATCAAAATAAAAATGGAATCACATGATCTTTTCACAAATTTTATCAGGTAACCACTGGACGTACTGTCATTTCTCAGTGGCCTTCTTGATGCTTTTGTTAGTAGAATGTTAAGAAAAAATTTCAAGAAAGCACAAAGTTTTGAAACTCCTTAGTAACAACCAACATGAAAGGCCAAGGTACCAGGATTAAAGTATGGTTTTGTGCATGTAAAATGCCATAATTACAAAGAATCTACTTATAACTATTTTAAATGTACCTGGATCCTAACAAGTGCATTGGATGCCTCAACTGCTCTGTGCTCAAGTTCCACTTCTCTTTCAACAGCAGCCTATAAAAGTATGACAGCCATGAGCAAATTTATAAGGAACAAAAACAAAATCCCAGATGGCTTTTGAGAAATACCATCTTGGTAGCATTGTGTGCAATACGTTCTTCTTCAGCTCTGCGTTCTGCAGAAGCAAGCTCTTCTCGTAGAGCCTATTAAAAAATATGTGAGCAGTATTATACTAAATAAATTGGAAATCCGATAGCTCAACGATGCTCTGGAACAAAGGTATTGTCTAAGAATCATAGCACTTACCTGCATCATTCGAGTCTCAGTCAGTTCACGATTCCTCATTATGGCCTCCATGTTTGCCTGATTAGCGCCCAAAAAAATATGGCTTGAATCCAATAATCAAAGTTGAAAGCTTAAAGGATGTCAAAAATAAATATACATAAAATCAGATACCATTTTGACACCATGAACGAAGAAAAATAGTAAATAATATATTAATACATGCAAGATACTAAGAAGTGCACAATAGTTAACAGAGTTCCTCTTAAAAATAAACGTCACATCTACATGATCAGGTCAGTTTATTCAAATCTGGGAAATGAAAGGAATGGTAACAAGGTTATCCTAGTGTGTATTTTGGTGGGTGGATCATTGTGTGGGTTGGTAGTGCGTTTGTAGTTGAAGCTGAGTGTTTGTGGCTTTCTTTTGCTTTGTTGGAAAGGATCTAGAACAATTAATACAAAGAAAAGGAAGAACTAACAAAGGTGAAAGAAAAAAGGGAAAAGAAGAAAAGAATGGAATCATATGTATTATATTACAATAGAACTAGTATTAAGCCCACGCATTGCAGCGGGTATTATTTACCAAGGTGTATCTATCGCCAAATTGATAATATGCTTTTTATATATAACTATTAATAAAAACTTCAGCGATAAATTTTTTACTACTATTTACAGAGTGAATCTCCAAACCAGTTAACAAAATAATATACCAATCAGCAAGTTTTATCAATTTTCTTTAATAGAGCCAAAAAAGTTTTATATATGTGGAATGTCTAATAAAGGTTCAAATCATCATCTGCGAGAACAAAAAAAAAAGATATGAATAGTGTTTTAAAGGTTCAAAAATTCACTTTAGCTTCACCATTGGACGAACGATCAAAGAGTTTACTTTATCTGCTTAAAAATTTACTGTATCTGCTCAAGATTCTAAATTGCATAAAGAGGGGTTTAATATTCTGAATTGTTCTGTAGCATGAACAGTGATTTTAATTTAAAAGTAGTTGGAAAAGAATGTGAGGAATATATTCTAACGGTAAAAATTCTATTGCCTTCTAATCACCAAATAACCACAAAAAAAAATAGCAGCAATGTGATAGAAAACTATGTCTACCTAGTCCATGTCACAACAGGGTTTAAAGTTGAGTTGACAATCTGTAATGATGTTAAAGGTTAACATCATTACAAAATTATGCAAGTTTATCATGAAAAAGAAAAAGGAAACAGATAATTCAATTCTATAGAGGAGAAGCCTTTCGAAAACTAATTCATAAAATTTTCACCTTATCGACATAACCTTGCAAGAAGAATATCCACCTGCCATCTTATAGTCTCAACAGAACATGGAACTAATTAAAACAAAGAGGAGGTTCTCATGTAGGGAACTTCATTTACAAGGAAGATACACTTGTAACAAGTAAACTAAAACACATATTAACTGTCACAAGGTTTAAGAATTCAACGAGAAGATTCTCCTATTTTTGTGTTTTCCTAGTTTAAAGAAAGCCTGGCAACATGGAGCATCAAGAAAGGCTAAACAACCAAATCAGCTACTGAGGCTTTCTAATAGACAGGAAAAATAAGAGAAGGGTACATGCAAAAAACTGAAACCTGTAATGATACAAGTTTTTCTTCTGAACCAGAAGCCTGTTTCTTTAGGGAATCCATTGAACCAACAAGAGATTCAATTTCAGCATTCTTTGCAGCAAGAGCGGCTTTCATATTCGATTCAATCCTTGTCACTTCAAGTTTGGACGCAGACAAATCTTTCTGCAGCTGCTTTACACGGGCTTCATATGAAGTGCAGCGTTCTTTCTGTTCCAATTGCAGATTTTCAAGGGAATGTTACAGAAACAGAAAGGTAACAGTTAACGAACACAAAAAGTCACATATCATGTGTGTGGACAAACTCAGCAAGCACTAGCTGTAAGGTAGTTCAAAACAGCTCACCTCTGCAACAAGAAGTTCCTCTAGCTGAGCATTTTCTGCCTTGTACTCTTGAAGACGAGACGAAAGGCCAGCACAAACCTGTCGATTAGTAGAAGTACTATGTTATAGTTACGTATTTCAGAAAGACTAATATGTAAGCAAATATAAGTGTCGGATAACAGATACGGGTGGTAGAATTCTTAATGGAGGCAGAATGGCCGTGAGACCAAAAGGTGGATTATCTGAATTTTCGCAGAATTGGAATTCTACATGCCAGAAAACTGCTTGAGCGTGCTAGTCTAATTAAAGTTTGAGTTCTATTTTCAATAGAACTTTATAGCTTCAAAGTATTTTAGGAGTCTAATTAAAGTTCTAGTTAAAATATAACCGCATGAGCAACGCTCTATGTTTCTTTTACCATTACTTTTTCTGAACATTTCTCTATCCATTATGATCACGAAGGGCTGGGAGATCTTTTTAGACTGAATGAATATCTTACGCTAATGTACTTTTTCTATAACAAATGGGTTTGTCTCTATCACATGCAAACCAGGCACGCTCATATATAAAGATATTCTCTATCCACATTAGCAGTGTGAGAAAATCTTACCCTTGCTAACCTGGCTTCTTTTGATTGACCACTGGAGACTGAACTCTTGAGTAGCCCCTGAGCCTGCCAACCAACTTAATAATTAACTGAGGGAACATTCAATATGATACATAATAGCTACTTATATGTGAGAGTTCTTTTTGTACAATAAAACCTCATCAAGTTGGTCCTGAATTTTTTTCGGCAATGTTTCATTTTTAATTTCCTGCTGCTTGTTCAAATTTGGTGATGGGTCAGGCTGCGGATCACTTTCATTTTCTTGGCTATTGATAACATTGGGCTTCTCTACCGTCTCAGATTCAGGTTTCACTTTCTCAACTGTCAAAGAGGCATCTTCATGGGCTGTACTGAGTTTTGAATCTGCATCAGCAGGATGGTTAACTCTGGGGGAATCAATTTCTTTGCCCACAACTGTAGGGGTGGAATTCTCAAGCACATCTTCCGAGTTTGCAGCTGTAGCAGCATCTTCAGTAGAGATATTTTTTGTCTCAATATCACTGTGTGCAATAGGAACTGCTTTTGCATTGATAATATCCTTTTCGCTTTCATCAATTTGAGTAGCTCCTGATGCAGTAATATCTGATACTATTGTATTATTATTGTTATCAGCTTGATGTTCAGAGGACGTCTCAGTCGTTTGATTTGTTTCGTCTTCGAGAGAATTTTCATGCGTAGAAGTTTCAACTCTGTCAACTTTCACATCTGGTGCTGACAACTGTATGTTTTTCTGCTGTTCAAGATTAGTTTTAGAGACTTCTGTAGAGGAAGGTCTTGAATTAGCCTGTAAAGCAGTCAAATGAGCTGATCCATGTAAGTAACTCAGTTTATCTGCATCAAAATCTTGGAAACCACAACGATGCTAATTTACAACCTTCGTCTTTGATTTTGTCCTTCTGGCTTTGACTTCCTGACCATTAGGTGCTTTTTGGTGCAAACAGATACAGAAAGAAAATTGTAAGTCATAGGAATGGTATTAATCATATAACAGGGAAAATGTAAGTGATAAGGATTTTATTCTCTCAATGTAAAATATACCAAGAAGAAAGATAAAGCCTTCTCTATTGCAGCTATCAGAACTAGGTGGCAAATAAAGTGTTGAGAATATATACCTGAACTTGAAGGCTGCAAATCAGACTGCTCATCTGACAACTCATTGACAACAAGCTTTGCTCTTCGGTCTACAACTTCAAGTAAATCTGATACCAAAAATTACACCTTTATGGTTTCAGTTATGGTTGCACATCAATGAACATGTAAGTCTTGGAACATTAAATAAGTGAATAAGATTAATGAAATGGAATTTAGAGAGGGGCCATGGCAAGAGAAAATTGCCATGAGTAAATAGTTAAATTTACTAATGATAAAGCTTTATAAAAAGTATGAATTTATGTCATTAACTTGTTTGCCGGTCTCTAAGAGCACAATAGTTCCTGGCTGAGAGCATTGTGGTAAACTATGCTGATTGGAAGTATAGCATTTAGGTTCAAATTTCAGATATTAGAATGCCTTCTACTGCATAAAGAAAAGTGATGCCTCATACGCAAATGAGAAGTTAATTTCTGGCATTTGAGTTCTTGTCCTTGGAAGCTTTTTCATCAATTTAAGCTTATTGTCATGCGTGGTACTGATACATCTTTACTCCAACAAGAACAAGATCAAGTGCCACAGGTCAGAAGGCAATTTGATACTCTTGCTACAACCAGGGGATGTACTTTCACATGCAAGGAGGTTAAGGAAATCCAGAAAGTGAAGGCCTTCCCGACTTTAAAATGAAGCACACTGTTTGATTTAGATGGATTGCACCAGATTGGGACTCTATTGAGCTTAATCTTGCATTGAGTTATAAGGAGTAGCAAGATATCTTGGATCTCCTAATCAGAAGTTGCAGAAGAGTATTATACGAGTTAAATAACAGCATAGTTTAGGGACTCCAAGAAATTATTAAGATCGTAGCTAGGCAAATTCATCCAAAGAAACTCTGGAGCGAAGGAGAGACTGTATCTTTCATCCTCACCACTTTTCATCCTGACCAACTCATAAAGGATTGCCATTCAGTTAAAGGCTGGTTGTAAAAGTTGGTTTATTTTTTATGGAACTTTCTCGGTTTTGAGTTGTGCAACACAGTCAACTTGATTTCAGTGCAAAAGGACATAAATGAAGATAAAGATAAGGACAATGATATTCGTGTGATTCACTCACTTATAAAATTAAATCACCTTTGTGGACCCTTTGATATCAACTTGCACTAGTAGGTGACACCATCTAATGGAAAACATTTTGGAAAATGGTGAATTCAAATTTTCACTAGATTAAATCCTTATTCTATCTCTATCCGGCCCCCCCCGCCCCCGCCGCGCAAAACAAAAAAAAAAAACAAAAAAAACCCTCTCTCTCTCTCTCTCTTAGAAGCAGGCCTTCTAAACTTCTTAAACAAATATAAGGGCCATTGAGAAACAACTATTACCCTTTATGAACGCCTTAACCAACAGAAATTTAATTTTTATGTTACATTAGATTGCAGAGGTCATTACTTTACTTGCTCTCCTGAAAGATTCACACAGGAAGAAAGTTAAATCTTTCATCAGAAGATTTAAATCATATGAATGTGTTGTAACCTTATATTGGATGTCATGGTAGCACCGTTCTGGTGGTCTTGTTTATGTTATTGAGGAGAAGATAAACTAGCCATTGATTTATTATCAGATAGGTGAGGTCAATCTTCCTACCAAAGGCCTATTTCAATACAAAATGCTAACCTAATAAACGCATTTGACATATAACTAAACTTCATAGTAACATTCATGGAATTTTCTGAAGATTCAAATTAATCCACCCAGTGTGTGAATGTTCAGATTTCCTCTCGTTAACATACACAAGAAACTGTAGACTTCAACGATACATATAGCATCTGAAGTTCTACCAGCATAACTGCATGAAATCAGCATGTCCTGCAGCCATTTCAGATGCAATGCTAAATTCCAAAGTTGCTGCATATGATATCATTTCCTGAATAAATATATAAATCGTACGATATCATTTCCTGAATACGTATATAAATCGACTGCTCGCATAAAAAGAACAGCGATATTACGGTGATCCAGTGATGTTGCCCGAAATCACTGATTAAGTATCAGTAAGTTGAAGGGACTTCACATAATTCAAAACCGGTGATAAGAAATCATAGCTGCAACCATCCAAATTCGCCCACAGTTCTAATTCAACAAAGTAGGAAACTTAATAAATGAAAAACCTTATTCTTACAATCGTTGATCAGAATGTAACCAAGCAGCACACAATTAACCCACAAATATTCTGCTGTACGAGTTATGATACAATAATTCTGAACTCGTGATGAAGACGAAGGAGAATAATTTATGCACTTAAATCTTCACCTTTTGTCGAGGTTCCTTCTCTTCAGGTCGAAACCTGAGCTATCCTACTCCTTCTAATAAGAAATCAACTTTCGATAATCATTTGAACTGAGTAAAAACTTTTCTTAAAAAGATTCAATCTCCATCCATTACGCTGAAGCTAAATGTGAGGGCAAAGAATTGTGAAATTTCCAAATCTCCGATACAAATTATGCCATTGCTTAGATCAAAAGCAGTTATAATAGTGAGATCAATACGGCAACAAACTGAAAGGAGTTGAAATTTGCAGTAAAGGCGAGTAATAGGGAACAATTAGATCATCGAGATGGTGAATCGTAAGGATTTGAGGGAAGAGAGAGAGAGAGAGCGAGAGAGAGATCGGCGTACCTTCGGCGACCTTGAGCCAAGAAGCCATGGGCGGTGACGGGATCTCGAGGAACAAGAACAGATCAGAGCGGAGCGGGAAAATGCTGAATCATGAGCTGAGAAAGATTGCAATGGCGATCGATGGGTTTGAGATTTGGGAGAGATCGGAAATATGGTAGGAATGTGCTTATAATTATGTAGAAAAACATACCGAACATCGTAAGCCCGTCTAGCTCAGTTGGTAGAGCGCAAGGCTCTTAACCTTGTGGTCGTGGGTTCGAGCCCCACGGTGGGCGTTTTTGTTTTCCCCCCTCTTTTTCTCTTAGCTATTTTGTCACGAATTAAAAGCCCGTTAATTAGGTAGCGGGCTATGAAAAAGACTACTCACACAGCTAAACATATAAAAAGAAGGGGTTATTTGCATACATACCCCTTATGTTCGAGCCCCACGGTGGGCATTTTTGTTTTCCCCCCTCTTTTTCTCTTAGCTATTTTGTCACGAATTAAAAGCCCGTTAATTAAGTAGCGGGCTATGAAAAAGACTACTCACACAGCTAAAGATATAAAAAGAAGGGGTTATTTGCATACATACCCCTTATGTCATGGACACTTTGAAAACGGCCCTGCATCTTTGTATTTGTAAAACTAGCTCTGAAATCATCAATTTTAAAAAATACGCTAAAATCAACAAATTATCAACTTGATGTTAAAATGTTGACTATTTTATATGTAGCGATTGCAAATTACCTTGAAAATTAACAAATCATCAACATTTTTTTTTTGACTACGGAGTTCAAGCCCAGCTACCTACTAGGAGACATCACGAGGAATATGTATGGGGATGACCTAGCCCGATAGAGAGACCCCATCTCAGCACTAGACCTACAGGACCTCCACCTAACCAAGTAAAACCCCGAAAACCCCCAGATCGTACTAACCACCATATTCACAAATAGGGTCAAGTGAATGTGTGGATGAGTATCAAACTTGGGCCATCTCGTGGGGAGTCTCCCATGTTACCACCCATGCTCACCCACTGACGATAACAAATTATTAACTTGATGCTAAAATTTTGACTATTTTATTGATTATATTTACACTGGGATTACAAATTAGCTTATCAATGTTAATAATTAATTGCTTTGAGGATACCTTAATTTTTACACTAAGATTACAAATTAGCTTATCAAAGTTGATAATTAATTGCTTTAAAAAGATAAATTTTTCAAAATTGATTATTTGAGTGGTAGTTTTGCAAATACAGAGATGTAGGGGGTATTTTTGCGAATACCCATGACGTAAGGGGTATGTATGCAAATAACCCTTAAAATGGTGATGTCTTTTTTCATCCAATATATTTAATAAAATATTATTTTCATCCACCACATCACTCAACTCATCTTATCTCATATTTAAAAATTACTCACATCATCCAATAAGATTGTGACAACTCATCTCATCTCATTAACATTTCATTTCTTTGTTTTCCTCCCAAAAAGCTAGGAAAACAATTTCCTTAAGTGTGGGTCACATCATCCAATAATATAATGACAACTCATCTCATCTCATATATTTTCTTATTTTTAAGAAATAACCAAGCAAAAGAAAACAACCTATTGTAAGAAATAGGTTTCTTATAATTTATTTCATTATTTTTTTCGCCAACCAAACAATATTAAAACAAGTTTTTTTTAAAAAATCACTCACATCATCCTATAATAAGGTGACAACTCATCTTCATTTCTTTGTTTTCCTACTTTTTTTAGCAAACCAAACACTCCCAAAACAATTCTTTGATTTAATAGTTTTCCATTTCTTTGATTTTCAATTTTTTTTAGACAAACAAACAGGCCCTGAAAGTGAAACAAAAATTAAAAGGTGATTGTTCTTATTTTTTCACGTTTGGCACTTAGGAAGTGCTCGAAAAGTAAATGCAAATTGGATGAGGGTTGCCTCTTGATTATTCTCGCTCTTTTCACTTTCTTCTAAAAATTTTAAAGTAGATGGAAAGTGAATTAAGAGGAGAGAGAAATTAGTCCTTGATTTTCCTTGCCATTTCAATTTTAAAAATTCAACTTTTATTGTCTAATTTTTATGGCAACCAAAAATAACATGAAGAAAGTGGAGGCCACGTCAACTGTTGTTATAGCTGTTTTAGTGCTAAAAAGTAATATCCAATCAAATAGCATATAAGTGTCTCACATTATGCGTAATTGAGTCAGCTCTTCACTTCAAGATAATCAAAGACCTAGCTTGGACAACTCGACACTCCGACATCTCGCGAGGGTGACTCAAAAGGCGTTACATGTCGACCTCTGGCTAGGCTGACTTCTTGACCAACCCACTCGTCCGACCATTCGGCCGACATCTCGCGAAGGCGGTACTTCTCGATCTTCTATTGGACGAGTAGAAAGGTGACGACTACCTCGAGGCTCGAGCCCCCTCTCGCGCACTAACAGCCAATCACTTTGCAATAAATGACATTAAATGCATGATCAGCGTCATCATTTCTCTGTCCTCAATAGTCTTTATGACACATCGGATCACGTCGGCACCGTACGCCCCCAGTCACTTCACATTAAATGCGGAAGTGACATCTCCTCCACTCGTCGGACTACACATGTAAAGCAGATGCTGACTTGGCCGCCAGCCTATACTCGATCGAAGTTATCATCCTACCCCATACTACCACTATAAATATGGGTATCATTTTCAACAATAAGATAAGATCTTGATCTCTGCCCACTGTGCTTAAGAATTTTCTACAGTTTAGTTACTTCTCTACTCAAGCAAATTACTGACTTGATCGTCGTAGGAACAATCGGAGAACCCAACTCCATCCCCTTACGATTTGCTACATGTGCAGGGAAGAATAGCCCACCTCAGAACCGGACATTCGAAGGGTTAGAGGACCTCCATCAACTATCTCACTTCTCTCATTGACTGTTTGATATCAGCCATCAACAACTGTCATGTCAAAATTTTATCTTTCACTTCTATCATTAAGACAAGATTTGCGAATAGAAGGTTATGAGAAAGTAGTTTCTTGATGAGATACTTTCTCTTCACTTTCGAAGGGTAAAAGATAATATATTGTCATGCCAGAGTTACACGTCTCCAACAAAATTGTCATATGCACTTATATTGGTATGTGTAATAAGTGCTTATAAAAGTGTTGTGTGTACGTGCGCGTGTGGCATTTTGTTTGGGAAAGGGGGATTACGAGTTGGTTACACACCCTCATATTACACAGGTCACAGGGTGTGAACTCTTATAGGCTTTGTTGCCTAGGTATTTCTAATATGGAGTCGCACCGGTACTCAACACGTTTTGTACCCGTACCTGATTGTTCTTGGACACTCCCTAAATATATGTGTATATTTATTCAAACTATACTCAATTATACACCACATGTTTCATTTAAAACACTTGTTATACACTTCTTGAATATGCATCGTACATTTCACAGCTATTTTTGTAATATGTTGGACACGGGTTGAGTTCGATTCAGCTTTAAGAGGGACGATCTAAAGGATTATTACATGTGTAGCTTAAAACTATGATTATATCACATGAGTTTCAGTCATGTCCCTGTATTCTATCTTTTACATATTTGTCATGTCTCATACCAGTATCCTTGCAACTTACCTTATAGGCATTCAAGAAGTCCTAATCAGAGCGGAGACCTAAAAATGTGGATTAATCTCGGTATAATTTTGCAGATTATGTCAATTTGATAGAACTAATGGTTGTATTTTTTCCAAATTTTAAAATGAAGTTAAGAATTTCTCTATTCCTGGGGAGTACGACTGGGACAAAAAATAATTAAAGGTTACGAGACGGAACTCTCTTATCAAAGAAATGTGTAAAAAAAAAGATGCAGAACAGTGAAGATTGAATCCTCTGTATTTTATCTATGTTGAATGCTGTTGCAGGCACATGACAACGAATGTATTATCTCAGCCCCCTTTTAATGAATTAAATAGTTTAGAACTTTGAAGTAATGGGTGTCTTTTTTTTCCCAGGAGTTTGCCTATTAGTTTCTTGATCAAGTTGAGATCCTCTACATCATTGATCGTTGAAATTCTCTATAACTCATCAATCAAAAAAATTTCAATTAATGGGCCCTATGAGTGATATTCATTATCTAAGTAATATAAAATATTTTTACTTCTAGGACCCACTAAGGCAAGTCGTTAGTATTAGCTCACCTAACTGATTATAGGCATTCTCTATAATCAAGATTGTAGAGAATTTGGACCCCATGTTTCTCCTCCTTTATCAATCAGTTACATTTTAGGATTAATTACAACTGGATACCCTGAGGTGTGATGTAACTACATATGTGATCCTGAAGTATTGAAGCTACATGAGTAACACTGAGTATACAGATTGTAGTTACACAAGAACTCCGAGGGTTATTTTTTTTTCTAGGCTTTAGGGTCACCCATGTAGTTACAATTAGTAATCTTAGGATAATTGGTGTAAACACGCAAACCCCGCGATCATCAGTGTAATAACACGATACCGCAGAATATCGGGTCTAATTAATCCTAAATTTTAAGTTATTTGGAATTCTTTTGCAATATTTGTTAGTAGTGTTTTTAAGTTCTTTGACTGTGTCGGTCGCAGTAACGGTTAGTGACTGGAAATGATAGGCTGCAACAGGAAGAGGATAAGGAGAGTAATAGTCATTTAGTAAAATGTTCATTGTACTAATTTTTTCCCCAATACATTCTTAAGCTTCAAGTAGAAAGTTACTGACCGGGAAAGAAAATGAAGTGATCAATTAGAAAGATTTATACATCAGCAGTTGATTCATGTAATATTTCTCCATCCTATTAGAAAATAACATGTGTATAAATAATTCATAATCATTATCAAACTACAATTGTTGATATATAGGTAAGTAGAAAGTTCTAATAATAACATTTTGTTAATTCTTGATGACTAGGAATTTCTCATTGGATCACCAGTAATCGACAACGTTCAAGTTGAATACTGAAATTCTTGCATCTCCATTACACTGAAGCTAAATGTGAGGGCAAAAAATTATTAAATTTCCAGCGAATCTAAATTAGATCACTACAGCGAACAGAAAGGAGTTGTAATTTGCAGTAAACTAGAATCGTAAGGAA